TATTTATCAGTTGGTATATTTATGTCACACTTCCTTATCCATGGATGTCTCTCAATGTCTTCAATAGAGGGCCTCATCTCTGGGGAAACCGTGAAGAGCTGGTGAATTAGGTTTTCAAGTTGTGCAGAGAAGTTAGGTGGAATTTTATAGGTCCCCATGATGATCTTATTCTCCATCTCCTTCATGGTGTTTCCTGTGAAGGGGTAGTACCCAGTGGTGACAAAATACAGTGTTACACCCAAACTCCACACGTCTGTCTTCCTGCCATCATACGGCTCCTCTAGTACCAGCTCTGGGGCCTCAAAGCCCCTTCTCCCACACTTCTGTTTGAGTAAGCTGCCAGGTCTCCACTTGATGGCCAGCCCAAAGTCTGACAACTTGACATTGCCCTCTGCATCTCTCAGTATATTTTCAGGTGAAATGTCTCGATGGATAATGCCAAGGTTGTGGCAGTACTTTATGGCTGCCACAACCTGACCAAATACTTTCCTTGCCTCTTTCTCCTGCAGTGGGCCTTTCTCCTTTATTAATTCAAATAAGCTTCCTCCCGGAGCATACTCCATTAGAAAGTGAATGTGGCTTGATGTTGTTATTACCTGGAAGAGGCGGATGATGTAAGGATGGTTTAGTGTCTCCAGTGTTGCTCTTTCTGACAGGATAGTGCCGATGTTCTTCTTGGTGATCTCTACCGATTTTATGGCAACCAGGGCATTGGTTTTCAGGTGAGAGGCCAAATTCACAGTGCCAAATGCACCCTTGCCAAGATAGAGAAGCACTCTATACTGACTCCTCAAATTCTCTTTTTTGGAATTGCTGGCCATGAGCCTAAGTGTTCCCTGTGCTCTGCTGCACACAGGGTATGAGGTACAATGATCCAAGAACTAACAAACTAGACAGCTATGAAGAAGTCTCACAGGTCACCAAGAACAGTTCCCTGCTCTGTATGGACAAACACAGCAGGCTGGTCCACAGTCTTATACAGAGGACACTCATTCTTCCATCACAGCGGTTCTTTGTGAGGTCAGAGCACAAAGTGCACCATGCAGAGAAGGTTATAACCCATAGTGGCTATCCTCTATCCTCCCTCTGGCCCAGAGAGATCTTTCCATTCTCATGAAATTGAGACTAGCCTCTATCAGCTTCTTCTTCAGCAGATCACAAGAGACAGATGTTTACTTGTTTAGCAATTACAGGCAGCAGAGTGCATTTGTGGCCTTTGTAGCTGGATACTGAGTATGTCAACCATCTGGACTTTCAAGGATGAGGTGCATATTGGACAAGTGTTCTCAGAGAGAGGCTAAGTCATCTCAAAATGTAGCTGGGAGTTTTTCTACCTAGCCACTTTATTCTCAGAATAAGACTCTGAGACTTAATTATTACCAAAGAAATACCTAGACCATAAGCTTTGGCCAGGTCCCCAGCTAGGTTGTAAGTGATATAAGCCATTTATTCTAGTCTGTGTCTGCCACATGGATGCTTATCTCTCCTGAGATTCATGTTTCTGTCTTCCTCAGGGTTCAAGGCCAATTTGTAGGTCTTCACTGTTTCCTGGAGTCCTATCACTCTCTGCTTCATGTCCCACCTTCTATTTCCTGCCTTGCTTAATTGACCATCAGCTTTTTACTGACAAGTGAAGACTGTACACAGTACCAAAGATATTCTCTTTATATATTCCCAGCCATAGTTCAATCATGCCACTTCTCCTGTATTTCTGTGAGTGCCTCAGTTCGGACATCAAAATAAACTCCCAGTTTTCCTTCGAGGAAGACCATCCCCTTCACTTTGTCTGGAAGCTCTCGCCTCGCTGTTCTGTAAGGTCTTTCCAAGCATATCTAATGTTGGGTTTCTCAATAGAGGACAGGATGATCATGGTCACAACGCATGCCTGCGAATTGATGATCAGGGAAGGCTGGACGACAGATGTGGCCCCTGAGATGTGGGCCAGAGCAGTGGCCAGGGCCTCTACAGCTCCTTTCTCCTCAATCAGCTTCTCAGCTGACTGCTTGAAATGGCCAATGGGAGTGGGAGGCAGAGACTCCAAAAGCCTGATGGCATCTTTGCTGGAGGCTTATATTATTTCTGTTGCAGAAGAAGCGCCTATCTATTTAAATTTAATTCCTGCTTTCCGCTCCACTTGCACCAACTGGTACTCTGCTTTGTCCTGATAAAAGCAGATGTAATTCCCTGTCCTTCCAGCTCTGCCTGTTCTCCTTGAACGAAGAATATGACGCCACATCCTTTGGTGGACAGCTCTGAACAATCAAGTCAACTTCGGGAATGTCTAACCCATGGGTAGCAACATGGTTGCCACCAAAACTCCAAAGTTGACATTTTGGAAACCTTTCAGGCTGAATTCCCTTTGCTTCTGTGGACTGTCACCATGTAAGGACTGGAGAGGCTGCTTTATGCATGTGTTTTGCAACAGTTCTTGGGCATCTTGCTTGGTTTCACATTAGATGATCCTGTGCCCTTGATGACCACAGTACACTCAGATCACAACCCCAATTTCTGCTGCCTTCTGTCCAGTAACGACTAATCTCCAGGTGCTCCACAGTTGAGGGTGCTTTCAGAGTCTTTTTACTAATGAGGTCCACTTGTTCGTATGCATATTTCATGTATTTCTTAGCAACATTAAATACCCAGTGAGGGAATGCTGCAGAGAAAAGCAATGTTTGGCAGTTGTCTTCAGAATCTCTCTTGTATGCCACATGTAAAATTTCTTCCACATGATCAGCAAAACCCACATCCAATATCTGATCGATTTCATCCAGGAAAACATGTGTCTGCTTGGTGAGTTCTAACTTGCCATTCTGCAAGTGGTCTTTAATATGACCTGGGGTCCCAGCCAGGATATCATTCCCACTCTGCATTCATTCAATTTGACCACCCTAGGGAGTTCCACCATAAATACAAAGCTACTGATAGCTTTTTGGTGATGTCACTGAAGTCTTTGCTCACTTGATTTGTGAATTCTCTTGT